AAGAAGAAGAAGAAGAACTCACCTACCTGGCGACTCCGCGCTAGTCGCTATACGCGTTGTAGGGAAAAGAAGGGCTGGCGGACAGGGCAGGCAGTGCGGGGTAAAAGAGAGAGGGATGAGGTAGGGACAGGGTAGAAGGGAGAGACAGCCACAGCGCGTACTAAGGAGACCTTGAAGGCTGCTGGCCGGGTGCCCAGGTCTAGTGCTGACCCACTATAAAGGCACTTGCCGTCTTGCTCGTACGTCAGGATCACCGCCTAGCACCCTCTCCCTCGGGAGAGAGCGCCTGCTAACCTACTACTCTCCTGCCCGCGCTCTCACTTCGTTCACCGCATATACATACACCGGCTCGGCTACGAAACCCGCTTCCAAACCCGGACCACGAGAGTTTAGAGGCTCTCCGAAACGCTCCATCTCGCTCTCCCATCTTCTCGGCCCTTCCTCGTTCCTTCTTTCACTCGTCGTCTCGTACTCCATGATCCCCTGCGCCTGCTCCGCTACCTTCACGATCTCGTTTTCACTCCCTCTTTTTAGCCCCTCTCCTTTTCTCTTCCTCTCTCTCTCTCTCTCTCTCTCTCTCTTTTCTCATACAATCCTCCGTCCCTCGCTTCATCCCTTCATGGCCCTTCTCCGAATACCCGTCTGCCCTCTTCACGTCGTTACTACCACGTGTAATTCGCCCCTTCTGTGTAGTGTTTCTTCTTTTAGTTCCTCTCTTACTCTCTTACTCCGTCTTCCTCTCTTTCTGAGCTTCAGCGCCGATGCTCTCTTCATCTCTCTTTTCTTCGCTTTCTTTCCCTTTTCTGTCGCTCTCTTTCATCTACTCTAACACAACACGCGCGTTGAGGAAAGAGAGGAGAAGAGAAAGAGAGAGAGAGAGAGAGAGAGAGAGAGAGGGTGTACACGTTTTGGAGGGAGTAGTACCATCTAGCATAGCAACTGCTGTTTCTGCATTTCTTCGCAGCGCGCCCCATACGAGATGTCGGTATATTTTAAGCGTATAACGGGTGTCCCATCGCCAAAACGAAGCGCCGGAGCTTTCCCGGAAGTTCGTGGGCATTTATGAACCAGTTCAGAGAGACGGTTTCATAATCAATTTTATTATCGTCCAAGAAAACTCGTATTCAATTTAATTTATAAGGCTTAAATGCCTACGTATATACACAGGTCGAGGGATAATTTTTTATATTGTATTATAGATTTTTGTGCAGCATATCAATGGATGAGGTAAATGAAAGACATTTATTGCACCTAAGAATCATAAAATTTTAGGATTAGATAGACTATGTCACATATACATGTATAGTACGTATAACATTTAATATTAGTGTTCTGTAACTGCTACTAAGTATTTAAGTTGAACAATAAGTTAATATTACATAACTTTATTTGAAAAAAGAAAAAAAACGCTTAAGAAGCTTTACACGATCTTCGTGAAAAAAAAAGTCTTATTAATGATTATTACATATATTTTTTATATTCGATCTGTTTTATATATTATACAAAATCTTCAATATTCTCTCTATAATATGATAAATTCAATTTTCATTTAATAGAGGACTATTTATATTTAACATTGCACCATTCTTAACAGGCACTTCGATATCGATGACAATCGCGTGAACGTAAAGTCTTTAATTACACCGCTCTGCTAATTGCGCTAATTCAAGTACATCATCGCGTTATCTTGTTCCTATCGACACAGTACTGAAATTTCCTGCTTCACTTTAGCATCCGTCCAAGTATCATTGCTACCGCGCTCTGTGTTATACATATATATTTATTATACCTGTGCATTGTCATCGGTACCGTCGTGTTTTGTTGTACCGAGGCGCTCCTCAAGCCCCACTTTGGTAAGTGTAATGGCAGAGTTAACCCCGCTCGCGCGCTGGTGCAATCTCGTCCCATCTTTACGGCACGTGAAATCGGGCGTAAAATGCGCGGCGTATTTAACGCGGCATAAGAATCGAATTAAAACCTCGTCAGGACGTACCCCGAATTTTGTACCTCTCTCATTCTCTCGCCACCGAATTGGCTTTCGCATGAAAAACCTGTTGGCTACGCGGTCGAGCACACTCGTCTATATAGGTACACTTACGAATATTATTACTGACGGGGGGAGGGGGGGGTGTGCAGAGAGCTCGCGAGGGGAGAGACCTGACACGAGACATACTAAGTAGCCATTTAGATGGCCACTCCTTTCCTCTCGTCCATCTACCGCTCTTCATCCCGTTCTCTCCCACTGTCGAACGTACGACTGTAAAGGAGAGAGAGACACGCGAGCACGCCATTTTTCTGCTAGCTCGCGCGCATTCTCCTTATTTCGTTTCATATTCCTATACTTCTAATTCATTCGCATCCCCAAGCCGGCTTCCTCGTCCAGCCGCGACGTATGCATACTCTCATTGTATTCAGCGTGGCATCTAATAGAATCTACGCGAACGAGTTCACCACTTGACCTACGCCGTTATACCGGCACGAGAAAATCTAGTCTCGAAGAACTTTGATTTAGATTAGCGGAACGTTTATATTCGGGGAGGTATATTTTTATTCATAACGATCGCGAGAGTCTCGCGAAATTGATTAGAATGAGGACGGGTCAGTAATTAGAAAAATTTTCGTTCACTCACGACTTTAATAGCAATTAAGTGACGTCTTGCTATATTATAGTAATTAATGATATATACGTGATTGACGAGACGACGAGTACTGAGGAGGGGTGGTAAACGAAGTGGTAGTTCGATTCTGACAGGCGTTCTCGTTCGATTAAAATTTAAATGGGCACAATCACAAGAGCTCTGACACCGAAGGCACCTCCCAATGGATCCGCTTAACGAGCACTACGTCGAGCGACCGTTCGGCGCGAGAATGATTCGCGAATCTATTCTTCTCGCGATTCGCGCGGCGAGGAACCGGTCATGGGAAATTAGATGGGCTTGACCGGTAAACGACACCTGGCGCGTAGGAAACGTAAGGAAATACTTGTGTGTGTCGTATATACACGCTGCTCTCTCTCTCTCTCTCTCTCTCTCTCTCTCTCTCTCTCTTCCAACTATCTTTCCCGTTCTCCTTCTTTCTCGCGAGCTACGCAAAAATGTGTCCGGCAGTTCACATAACCTTTTGATCCTGATTAGAATATGAGTGAGGTGTAGCTGTGGTGATATAGCTTTCGGCTAGGTTAATGCCGGCCACGATTTTTGCGCCGTTACCGCACACGTGCACACCGGAACCCGGAAGCGACCGCGCGGCGGAACCGGTGTGGTGTCCGACCGCATGTGTTTTTCCATGGGAAAAATCTCTCTCCTCGTTTCGTTCGCGGGGTCAGAGGTCGAGGCTCAAACAGGTTGTACACTGACCCATTGATCCAATTCTGTTGTCCGACTTGAGACGCATGAGAAAATCGCAATGAAAATATCTAGTTGTACTTCTATCAAAATTTATATGGCTAGTAGCAGTGGGAGAATTCAAGTTTAATTGAGAACGAATTGTAAGCTAATATCAGTAAAGGCTTGTCCATCGATATAATTCTTTTGAATTTTTTTATAATAATATAATTAACGTATTATTAGTAAAAAAATATATATATGGTTATACAAAATTGATATAAGTAAAAGTGCAATTTAATCAATGTATTTGTAAATTAATACATTTAAGACAAAGATATCAATTCGGGAAAGTTATTATTATTTGCACCAAAAAGAGAACGTTGATATAATTAAAGGGTATATAATAAATATCAACTTTCGCTATTGGACAACTACGGATTATTTACGCCATAACAATGAAATAACCGTTAACTTTCGTCGGCTTCTACTATGTGAATAGATGAAAGGACACCCTTTACAATAACAAGGCCTGGACCGCGAGATTGGTAATCGCTCTATTTACTGGCCGCACGTTGTGTTATGTTACGTGTCCATGAATTTCGTACGCCTCTTTAAAGACACACCTAAAAACCAGCTCCTTCATTTTCGTTGCAGGATATACCTATCTCGGATCCTCGCTCGTTGTAGAACCGTCCGTAGCCAGCGCCGCAAAAAAACGGTAAGTTACAAAAATTTTGTCATTGAATTGTGAAAGCATGGCTTTTAGATAGTTTGAGAGAGAGAGAGAGAGAGAGAGAGAGAGAGAGAGAGAGAGAGAAAGAGAG